CTTCCTGGCCAGGCAGTCCAGAGCAAAGGAAGTCAAGGAGGTAGAGGGTCCCGGTAGTGGGTTCTGGGACCCCAGCCTCACCCAGCAGATTTCCTGTACCTGGGCTCCATCGCCCTCCCACAGTTCCCCGACCAGGCAGGCTGTTTCCTGCCTCCCTGCCTTAGCACAGGTAGTTCCCTCCACCTGGAATGCCCTTCCTCATCTTTCAGGTCCCAGCTTGGCTTTAACTCCACTGGAGAACCTTCCCTGAGTCACTTGGGGCTCCCCCTGCATCCTGCACCCACCCCGGTCACAGCCGTTTTGTGGATGATGCTCTCACGGGGCGGTGAGGTCTTGGGGTGCTAGCTTTGCCTTTATACCCCAGCCCCTGGCACAGATAGGTGCTCAGTAAATCCGGAAGGAAGGGAGGGAGGGAGGGAGGGAAGGAAGGGAGCAAAGAAACACCTCTCAGGATTGGAGAGGATCTGGACCATGAGCACGTGGCACAGGGCTGGGCATGGAGCAAAGCCCGCTCCCTGCTGAGCGTGGGTCCCTCACCTTCTGCCTCATCCAACTTAGAGCCGGCTCAGGGGCCTCCACGCCCGCAGGCCTGTGTCTGCTGCCCATTAGGAAGCGAGGTCGTGACACCAGGAGGCAGACGTGCACTTGACTTCATAGGAGCCAGTGTGTGTGTGGAAGAAAGGCCTCCATTCATCCAGCTGTGCAAACTTGCAAGGGCCTGAGGGCTGACCTTGAGCAGGGGTTTTCAAAAGCTTTACCTGAGGCCATTATGTAAAGCAGATGGAAGCTAAGCCGCTTGGGGCGAAGGGGTGGGTGTTGGGGGTGGGTGTTGAAGGCGACTGGGAGATGGGACCAGAGTCCCCTTTCCCCTGTGTCTTTGGTTACGGGGCAGACAGTCCTGGCGGTGGGATGGGGCAGCCAAGAGAGAGGGAGAGCCCTGGGCAGAGTACAGTGGCTGACATTTACTAACTGTACAGAAGGGCTTCAGTATTTTCAGAACTGTGTGTTCATGCCCATGTGGCTGGGCCAGTGAACTCATCTTTCACAGCAAGAAGTTAGTCTATACCAAAAAAAAAAAAAATGAAACTATGTCCTTAGAGAAAATCATAATGACTTCAACCTTTAATGTTCTCACAGTTTCTTTTTTTAATCTTGAAGGGATATTTTAGGGGAAGTGTCTCTTGTATCGAGGAAATATATGAATTAAGCAATTCCATAAACTTCTCTTTGTTTGGTGAAACTCAAGTAAAGTTAAATTTAAAATTGTATCCAAGATATGATTGTTTTCATAAAAGTATCTCTACCCATCTGTTCATCACCCATGCTTCTCATTTTGTATTTGCATATTAAGTTGTCCAAAAGGGCGTTCACGTATGTGATTGGCTATTCTGGCTGGTGGGGCTGGGGTTGTGTTTTTACTTCCATCTTTGGGACTTCAGCATATTTGACTGAATTCTGTATAATGGACAGATGCCAGTTTCTATTTTAGTGTGATTTTTTTCTTAAAAATAAATACAGGAAGAAAACATAGCAATGACCTAGTCATTCAACAAATATTTATTGGACAACTTGATGCCAGGTTGCCATGCTTACTGATAACTTTAGGTTACTACACCTTGTAAATCTTTTCTCCTAGCTTACCCTGCAATTATTGTATGCTGCCACTAGGTGGCAGTAGGCACAGCAGTATTTGGGGAGGTGCTTTTTTTTTTTGGCCAGGTCTCAGATAAGACTTTGGGTTCCAGATTTGGAAGTTCTCATTGACAACTTTTATTTGTTTTTTTTAAATCATGTCTATTGTATATATGTTTTAAATCCCACAAGATATTATGTAACACAGTCAATATTTATTTAGTTTTATCTACCTTTCAGTTTGGCAGTCTTTATTCTTACTTTATTTACCCCTTTCTTCTGGATAGTTTTCCCTCTGCCTGATGAACATTTAATGTTTATTGTGAGTGTGGGTGGGCTGGGGAGAAACCCTGACACCTCTTATTGATCCAAAAACATCTTTATTTCGTGTTCCCTTTTGAAGAGTCTTGTAGCCTTGTGCTTCTTGCTCCATTTAACATGATTGTGCCTTTTCTGCTGGCTACTTTTAAAGTCCTCTCTTTAACTTCATTTTTCACCAATTTGGTGGTGAGTGGTTAAGGGTTAGCGCTCCTTGAGTCTGTGCCTTCGTGTCTTTTGGAAATACTCAGCCATGATTCCTTCCAGTATCACTTCTGAACGTGCTTGGGCTGCTGCTGTGGGCAATCTGTCTGGACAGTCGCTCCCCGCTGGTCCCTGGAGATGCTTGGGCTGCTCTCCCTGGATGTGCCTGAGTGCCCCCGTCATAGGGACTGTGCACAGTGACACTCACTAAGTGGGCAGCGACACATGGGTGCTTGCTTACTGACCCCACCCTGCCCCCACTGCGGTCATGGCGTCTTCCTTTTCTGTGGGGTCTCTGGACACAGGCCTGCGGGTCCACCTCTGGGGTCAGGCCCCAGGACCCTGGAGCATGGAGGCCTCAGTCCCGCTTCCCCGCCCTCACAGGACATCAGTGGGAGACAGTTCTGTCCACCCCTCCTGGTCCTGTCTGCCTCCCTGCCCCTATCCCAGACCCAACCATCACCTTGACCAGAGAGGTAAGATGCCACTTGTCCCTTCGTCCAGGGTGGAGCCAGACCAGTTCCAGCCCATCGAAGCCATGGGTCTGAAGGAACAGTGGCACC